GGTTTTTTCGAAATGCCTGGCTCACAGTAAAAATTTCAGTAAAATGGTCATAACTCTTCACTACTAGGCCTTGGGCACGAATCCTTTTAGACTTTTTCTTATTTTAATATATTCTATCGAATGAGGTATGAATGAAGCAAAACAGAGCGAATCACTTGGAAATATTCCCTCGTCAGTTTGCCAGTTTTTGATCTTCTGTCCAAGATTTCTCGATCCAGACTCGTGCAACATGTTTAAATTTTCCTTTTGTTTGAAAGAGCGCGTCGAGATGCAGGGCACCACAGAGTCCTTTTTTAATTAAGCTCTTTTTTAATATTATATATACAGACATTTATGTAACTAGACACCCATTTTTGACGCTTTTTTTGAGTCATTCAACTTGTGATCCTCTTTTTCCGCTAAAAAAGTAAGAATTTAAAAAAAAACGGCCTCTGTGGTGCCCTGCATCCTGACATGCTCCTTCAAACAAAAACAAATTTAAATATATTGACAAAGCCTGGACCGAGAAATCTTGGACAGAAAATGAGCTATTTTTGACCCTTGTTTGGTTCATATCTCTGTCAAATGTCATGCTACAGGGCTGAAAATTTTACCACAGCCTCTCAACTTCAGTTCCATCGTACCCTAAAATTCTCATGCGATTTGAATTTACTTAACCCAGAAATCGATTTTTGAGGGGTGGGGGCCTTCAATGACGGTGACCATTTGTTGAATAACTTTTGATCGACGAGGGCTACCGAGCTCGGAGTCGCATAGTTGGAAAGAGTAAACTCTGAGGCATCTTTCTATATAATTCATTGGAGTCCTCACCCACTTTTTTTATTGACTGTTTATTCATCGATCTGTTGTTTTAGTCTATTTTCAACGAATTTTTTCACATCCTAACTCCCATTACATCAAATTGTAGCCGGAATTCTGCTGGATATATGGCTAAGTTTTGACATCTTCGTCTTGTCTTTTTGATTTCTTTTCTTCAACAAGACCACTTTGATGTATGATAATTTTACCGTATATGTAGCTAAATTTCAGCTACAATTTGGCAAACTGAGAGTTAGAATATTAGAAAAATTCGTTGGAAAAAGATAAAAAGAACATATCGAAGTTTAAACAGCCATTAAAAAAATAGCTGTGGGCTCAAATGAATTATACAGAAAAATGTTTCGGAGTAGGCTCTTTCTAACTACACAACCCCGAGCTCGATAGACTTAGTTGATCAAAAGTTATTCAAAAAAATGGTCACGGCCATTTAACTCTGAAAATAACAATAGTGCTTCATGCAAACTCGAACGGTCGTCACTGTTGATATTCAACTAATAAATGGTTTCATACGTTGTAGCGTTTTTTATCTTATATAGATAATAGCACATCAGTAGTTGTTGTTAAAACGTCTTGTCATTCAGCAACTGACATCAAAAGCTTTCGAATTCGATTCTTGAGAACAGTTGAATTTTTTAATGTACTTATAATGTTTTTTTTTGTGACAATCGGTTTATTTGCAACTTACATGTCATTGAAATTGGCCTTTTCTCGTTCACATTCAAATTCATCGATTATTGATCCACAAATTTTTGAAGAATTCAACCGACTGCTCTTATCAAAGGATAATATTCAAAAATCTCATCATTTACCGGCTGTGTTAGTGGATTTGAAAGCCTTCGATAGAAACGTTACCCTTCTTCGTCATCAAATGTCTTCGCATTCACAAACTACTATTCGCATTGCCTCAAAATCATTGCGTGTCCCTTTCTTATTGCAACGTATTCTATCATCTGGTCTGCCATTCAAAGGGCTAATGTGTTTCGCTGTGGAGGAAGCCCAGTTTTTATCAAGCTTAGGCTTCGATGATTTATTGATTGCCTATCCTTCACAACAGCTATCAGATTATGAAACTCTGAGAGATTTACACGAACGCGAAAAGAAAACGGTGAGCATTGTGGTCGATCATCCAACATCCATAAAAGAATTGAATCAATTCATGGAGGGAATTAGCCGACCATTCCCAATTATCTTAGAATTCGATGCCTCGTTTCGAGCCTTAAGCGGACGCATCCATATAGGTGCGCGTCGTAGTCCAATACGAACTCTCGCTCAACTCATTGAAATAATTGAATTCACTCAACAATTACCTTTTATTCGCTTAGAAGGTATCATGGTCTATGAAAGTCATATTGCTGGCATAGGTGATATGAATCCCAATAACTTCTGGTTGAATCCATTGATCCGTTACGTGAAACATTCTTCGATATCCCACATTCAACAACTTCGACGAGAGATGAGGCAACTCTGTTCAAAATATGGCTTGACCATATTGAATGGAGGTGGAACCGGCAGTTTACTGGCGGCTTTGGAAGAAACTTCAGCTCTGACAGAAATTACGGTTGGTTCTGGATTTTTTCAACCTCATCTGTTTGATTATTATCAACAAAACCAAGTAATGATCAATCAGTTTGGTTCGACATTTGTGCCATCCTGTTACTTTGCTCTACCGATCGTGCGCGTATCTGATAAAGGAGAATGGGTAACATGTGGCGGTGGTGGATATGTCGCTTCTGGTCGACCAGGATGGGATAAAGTGCCATTACCAGTCTTTCCCTTGGGACTGACATTGAATGATAGTGAAGGACCAGGTGAAGTACAAACACCGTTGAGAATAGACCCAACTCGAAGAAATGAAACAATGAAATTCTTCGAACAAAATCAAATCGTTTATTTTCGACATGCCAAGGCTGGCGAGTTAGCGGAACGTTTTATGTTCGTTCTCATAGTAGCCGATGGATGCATTGTTGAAATGGCTAAAACCTATCGAGGATACGGGATGTGCTTTCTCTGATTCAACAATAGGACTATATGAACTTACACCGTACATTCGGCTTCTTTCTGTAAACCATTTACCCTTGTCTTGTATTGACAAAAAAAATCATTTCAATATGAGTCATCAATAGGATCGTCTAAAAAGTATGTTGATCTCTTAAAAAATGCGTGAGACTTGGCGACGATTATCAAAATAGATAGTAGAAAGATTCTAAACCTATGGTATTGCTCACAACTAACTTCTGACGAGAACTGATGAGACTGAAAGTGAATATTTTATAAAAAAAGTATCGCTCGATTAAAATTAGTTTTTGATCAAAAATGTTTTCAATTGATGTTTTCTTTAGCGTCCGCAATAGTGCTAGAACGATGACCTTTGTATATATTTGATGAAAAGAATGCTAAATAGTGATTCAATGTTGGTGGTATCATATCATTCTTCTATTTTCATGTGAAATATTTTGCTAGATGGCATAAAATGCCATGATATCAATCAGAAATTGTTTTCTACTTGGTCTTGTTGTAAGTGATAGACAACTATTATCTATGGTAATTCTCGAGAGCAATTAGCTGTGCTATGCTCTTCGTCCATGACATCAGTATGATAATATTCTCACAATGAAAAGATATGGTGTTCGTTGAGCGAAAAATTGAAATCGCGAAATGTGTTTCAGGGAATTTTCTTTCTTCGCTAGATTCAATTGTTCGTTTAACTGCGATCCATTGTAGTAAATATTTATGTAGGGTGGAGTGCGTGCGTGTGGATAAGAGATCATTCTTTGTTAACTCACACCCACAATCACATTAGAACCCATCAAGTTCATGAATTTTATGAACCGGATACTGTCAATAAAATTTTTTTGAACTCGGTATCGGTTGTGGATGAGTTGTGGGTGTGCAACGCTTCCAGTTAAGTGCATTGTATGCATGATGTTTGACTTTTCCTTACATTTTCTTATGTATTACTCTTATCTATCTGTCCTTACTTCGTACATCATGTTGTACTTTGTCGGTATCTTATTGCTCTTACTTTCTGTCCTTATTATCGTTTCCTTTCATACTCTTTCTCTCTGATGGTTGAGTATATAAGCGAATCCTTTGTATGAAAACAATGCGATTCTTGATAAGAAGAAATGTAATAAAGCACAATTCTAGCAGCACTAACACTTCTTCTATCTAAAAATCGTCACAGTGAGGGTGTTGGTCTGGCTATCAGTGAGGCTTGTCTTCATCTCCACCCACACCCATATTCGTTTAGTCAAAAGTGTTATCAGTGAAAATGTATACTAGTTTCGACTGAAGTATTCACCACTCGGTCGAAAACTGGAAACTAATGATTCAGGTTTTATTAACATTGGTGGTTTATTCATGTAGAACGTGCCCATCGCCATCCTACTCTTCTATGTTTTATCAGTCATCTTCTTCGAAATTATCTTTATGGAAGATCATCCAGACGCTGGTCAAAAGAACAACATAAATGGGTATTGGCAGTTTTTCTCTTGAATATAGTGTGGATGTGTGAAGAGAGTAGACATACCATACCCTCACATGATTTCGTTTTCACTTAAAACCGATTAACTTCTCAACACTTCGACTTTGAATAAGATATGATTATAATAAAAGGTTATGTCATAGGAAATCATTTGACTTTGATCAAATTTCTTTTCAAAACGTTGATAACTGAACTCAACTCAGTCTCGGATCTCATGACTATCGTACAAGTTGAATAATGGTGACAATATTTATTTTTGATGAAAACCCTTACAAGAGCAGTTAAAAAACTAGTAGGTAGAAAAAATGAAGGTTCATATTTCTGATAATGAAAAATTAAGTTTATTGTGAAGTTCACATTTTTATCCAATTGATTTGAAATCTTCACGGAGCATTTGTCTCCATGCTTGGATGATATTCAAAAAAACAAGGACAAACAGGATTCGAACGTCACCAGGTTTCATACGATTTCCAAAGTTCTTCCAAGGACCAGTCCAATCGCTTAGTCTTGCAACACAACCAGCAGCTACAACACTTGGGCTAAACGCTTTAATGTTAACCCTTGGTACCGTATCACCATGTTCGGTATACCAATAAGTAGCACCCATTTTAGGTGATGGAATTGGATCAAGTTTGTCTAACCCTAGGTAATGACCAGTTGTTTTATCGGTATACATGACAATGGGAAAGATACCGGCAGCATCAATTGCATTTCCAATCCAGATTTCAGCATTTATTGGTTTCATCCCTTCATTTCCCCATTTATTCGTAATCATCCATTCACCCGCATAGTCTAAGAATCGAGAATCGTAATTATACACTTCGCAAACATAATTACAAGCTGATGACCAAGTACATGTTTTTGAACCGGAATCATACAAGAAGAATCCTGTTGCATTGAAATAATAGTAATTGGTACCTGCAGTAACAATAAGTAATTGATTAGGATCATCCATGATCCATGTCGAATTTGTAATTAAATTGAATGCTTGAATACCAAAAATGCCATATCCATAATTACTTGGTAATGGATGGGGAAGTTTGTGAGCACTGATGTTCTGATTTGGGCATTGCTCACTTTTCTTATTTTTACAGATTTGAAAAAAACCAGTAGATTGAAGTGTAACACCTGTGTTGAACGTTATGCGAGCTTTACCAAACGGTGGCTGATTTTCTTTCAAGTCTTGTGAAGAGGGGAAAGGAACACCAGATAGAATCACATCAATGATATATAATTTTCCATCAAAAGTATTGACTTGTAATACTACCAATTGTGTATTTGACTCAGTTCGGCACCCAGGTCCTACACCATTGTATCCTATTGGTGGACATTCGTAGTTTAAACTATAGTTGTCCATTGTACCTAGAACAGTTAAAGCACCAATGAGGACATTGTATGTTTGATTTGTATTAGGGTCAATATAGGTCGTATAATTCGTAGTCAAGTTTGTAATCTGGTTCCAATCATAGGTCAAACAATTGTCAGAGATACTCCCATTATTTGCCAAGTTCAAAGTAATTTCCATGCACGACGATGGCACTCGTTGCATGTAAAAAAAGCCATCACATTTAACTGTAAATATATGAAGAATGTACATAAAAGTGCATCGTACACAGAACAATGGATAGAACAGACAGCAATGTAAGTTGATGACTCGAAACTCAGGAAACAATGGGAAAGATGCCAGATAACTATTGTATCCAACAGGAGATCTCATAAGCTATTTAAAATTTGGACACATTATTCCAAGTCGAAAACTCTTGGAAATTTTCAGTCGACTTTGGACTATTTTTCACCAAAAGAAACAAAAGAAGTTGGCCGAAAGTCATCGAAATACATTCAGTCTATTTTCGCGTTCAAATACTGTGTCCAAGTTTTGTGACTTTCTGTTATTTCATGCTGAAATCAGCCATTTTGCTGTCACTTAGAAGCGATTTTGACAACTTCATATTAGAGTGAAGAAATAAACGGACTCACCTGTTTCAGTAAGTAAAAAAGTCAAGACTGCCAGCGTCATTAAAATATTGATAAGCGACATCGTTTTATTTAATTGCACGAACTTATTTATGATGTTGAAGTATACGATTTTTTTTTCTATAAAAAAATGTCTGACTGTATTGTCAATTTCTTCCTATGTACAATAGCCCAAATGAGAGTTTATAGCAAAATGCTTTCTTGTTATTTATTGTACTGTATTGTATACATATCTATGTATGTGCAAATGAACTGGAGTTAATATTTCTATTTACATCATTTTATTCGATCTGTATACGTCCTTCATTTGAGAGGATAGAACTGTGTTGTCTCTAATGCTGAATAAGAAATGAGGGCATAAGTATATCAAGCATTGCACAATAGACTTAATGCTCTCCAAATGTTTTACCTATCTCATCTATAATTGGAAATTAAAAAGGACAACATATGAAAGAAATCTATAGATTAGAAATTGCAGTCACTTCAGGAACTTTATTAAACTCTTACTAATTAAACCATGGAAGTTGGTATCTCTCCATGAAGAGCTAGGCTTCAATCTAATAATTTTACTAATATACTTTCCGTCATTGCCGAATTATGAGGATAGGATGTATTACTTGAAGACTATACTGAAATCAATTTAGACTAATTGCATCTAATGAATCCGAATGAAAGCTATGGAGGATGTTCACGATAGTCGTAAATCGGTAGTAAACAAGTAAATGCAGAGAGGTATCAAAGAGTACGCGTCAAATGGGTGTGGATTATTGGTATGAGTGTGGAGATAAAAAGAAAACCCTGACATCACCACGTACACTCATGCTTGAAATTTACAAGTAAAAATCTCTAAATTACCATTAGTCCATTAATTTTCTTTTCTTTGAAATCAATTTGTGAGTCTATAACCAAGTAAAAATAGTCGCAATTTGTTGGCATTATCATTTCAGGAACTGACTAAGAGACTCGTTTTTTCTCACTAAATACTTCAACATTCGTTCACAATTGTGCCACACATAATAGATCAATATATATGCTACAACATTTTTATCGATATTGTAGTATCAAGAATAGGTTCCCTCAAAAAACCTAGTAATACTCTTTTTCTTGTATAAAGATAAATGACACCGGCATCCTACGATGTGCCAACAACCCTAACTACTACTACTGAGCGCTATTAGAACTGTCAACTTCTGATCGTCTTATTTACAAAAGTTTTCTTATACTTTTCCTGTAAATGAAATTGATTTTGAAAGAATAGAATTACGAATGTTTACTATAAATGTTATTTTATTCTTTTTCTCAAAATGAAATTTCAAATTTGATATTATATATCAAACAAAATTCGATATTTTCTACAAACTATAAATGCACAATGATTAATCTCTATTTTTCTGAACTTTTTCATAATTTACTAATAATAGTACTCTAGAAAGTTTATTATATCAGGATCTCATCTGCGAAAAATAAATATAAGAAAATAAACAAGAAAAATGCTCATGACTTTATTTTTTGAAAATCAATGTTCTTAATGATACTTCGACAGAAATATCACA